TACAAAATACAAAATAACTATGTAAGAAGAGTTCTGTCTCAATTTACGTGAAAATGCTTTTTTGTTCAACCCGAAAGTGTTTGGGTAAAAACCAAACCATAGTTTTAAAAGTGATTTTACACTATATAAAATAAGCATGTAAAGGAATTTTATCTCATCTTGCATAAAAATACTTTTTAAAAATGCCTTTTGGGTAAACCAAACTCCTCCATAAAAAATGTTGTTTAGAAACACTTTCACGTAAATCGAGATAAAAACTCTTTCCACGTACTTGCTTTATAATCTGTAAAATTACTTTCAAAATTAGTATTTGATTTCCACCCAGATATCCTCTTAATCTGAAATGAGTTGGTTTAATCCTCCACAATTAGCATGATAAGAGGATTAATGATGCTCTTGTTGTAATTTTATTTTTGTTTCTTCTTAAAATTACTTTAAAAACTATTATTTGGTTTTCACTCAAACATCCTCTTGATCTAAAATAAGTTAGTTTAATCCTCCCTAGTTGGCATGATAAGAGGATCAATGATGCCCTTGTTATAATTTTGTTTCTGTTTCCTCTTAAACCAACAAAAAAAAGGAAAAGAAAAAATAGATGTACTCTTTTGACTCGATACAAGCTAAAAAGAATCAGTAATGACAAAATAGCTTTTATTTCATCTTGTTTTTGTCAACTTAAATTAGGATAAAAGTTAGTTAGTATAATATGATTGACTTTTCTCAATTTAACACCTTGAATTTGTTTGGATAATTAATAAAAAAACAAATTTAGATGTAAAATGAGTAAAAAGAACATAAATTTTTAAATAATTACGTATGCAATATGATCATTCTAAAAAAATATTAAAATTAAAATTATAAATAGTTAATATATTATTAAGGAAATTTGAAAACATTAAATATAAAATTTGAATTCATCTTGTTCTTAATATTTATCTATGTTATCCCCAAGTAATTCTTAGGGTAATTACACATACTAAGAAGTTGTTATTGATCAATAGTTTCAATACACATAATTAATAATAATACTTTAGGCAATACAACATCAATTTATTATAAATAACTAACTTAACTATTTTTTAATAGTTTTAAATTAATTATCTAGTTTTTATATTAAAGACAAATAATATCAAATTATTAGATTTGTTAGAAGTAATTTTGTCTTTTTATCATTGCCATCTTTTCCCTCTCCATGCTACGTTAGTAAAAGCTTCTCAGATTAGTTTTAGTACTACCTCCAATTCTAATTATAAGAGCTAGTTGACCACTTTGAGGAGACTAAGGAAATAAATTAAGTTAGTTATTTGTAATAAATAGATGTTGTCTTTTCTAAAATATCCTTGCTAATCAAGTGTATTGGCTAGAACTACTATTATTAGAAGGACTACTTGGGAAAAAAATACATAAATATGAGAGACAAAGTGAATTGGAGTCTTATAATTAAAACCAAACTAAAAGTTAAACGAGGTCTTATATTAAAGACTGGATGTAATATTAGATAGTTGGAGTAGCTTTTCACCCAAAAACCCATCCAGAGAAAAGCTTATCCAACCATTTGTTCAAGTTTCCACCTGCCAGTAACTTATGTTCGCCTCATGCCAATGCACGTTTTCTGTTGAAAATGTGAATCGAAACACACACTAAGAGGCTGGTACCTCCCTCTAGTCCAAAATATTGAGCGTATTTTCGAAGAAATATTTAATTTATAACATAAATCTTTTAAGAAAAAGGGAAATATATTTAAGTAGGGAAAATTTTTTTTAAAAAAATAGTTTAACAAGGATTTAATGAGTTAAACTCTTGAACCATACTTAATTTCGACAAGGTAATTAAATGTAATTTATATTTTAAATTAGAAGAAGAGCATGTGAAAGGGACATCACAACGAATTCATTCGCGGCAAAAGCGGTGGAATTGAGCTATCACTGACTTTCAATGGAATTGAGAATGAAATAACCATTGCGCCCCTGACTATAACAATTTTGGACAATCTTGCCCCTTCGTCTTTTCAGCCCACCAACCCTCCAATCATGGACCTCCTCCAGCCTCCTCCTTCATTAATGACTTCGTCTCTTTCCTCTCTTACATTTGAAAATGATTATGGAGGAACTTCAGCATCTTCGTGTCCATGTCTCTCACGATTCAGAGAGATATAATTCTAATTTCCAATGATGGCGTAGAACCTTTTTTCCTCTTTATGAAAGGGTGTTTTAGTCCATCGGAATTACAAACATATCCATTTCGATCAAAGATCATGTGCCCCTTTCATGGCATTCCCACACACACACACATATACGTCTCTCATCCTAAATATAAGATTCATTTTATAGTGTAAAATATTTACACTATATAATGAGTCTTATATTTAGGATTAAAAGAATATAATTTTTTTAACTTTAATTTTATTTCCCTTCCTTCTTTTTACTTCTATTTCTTTCTACTTTCATTGTCATTGGGAAAAAACAAAAACCTCTTTCACCATATCAAAGGAGGCACAAGGATGTTAACAATTAGTTATTCTTGTAATAACGGCACACACCATATTTGGGTGAAGTCCCAATTGAGATATTTGTGGCTTTATGTATATGTGCATGCCCTAAATTGTATTATATATAAAAAAGAGATATAAAAATGTAAAGAAGAGAATTTGAAAGAAACTAACTAGAACTTCAGTTTAATAAAGTGTTTGGGTGAAAATCAAATTAGAATTTTAAAAATAATTTTACAATATATTAAATAAATATGTGAGATGAGTTATATTTCAATTTGCGTGAAAGCACTTTTTGTAAGTGTTTTTTAAGATATCCAAACACCCATTAAAACATGTGTAAATAAGGAGATATTCAAGTTTCAGAACTTTCTCGTCTCCTAATGAATAGTACTCCTCCGGTCCTTAATATAAGACCCAATTAGTGAGTTGGTTTTGGTCCTAAATATAAGACCTATTTTTCATATTTATCAATTATCTCTAAATTACCCCTATGGATACTCTTTCAACCATAATCAAGTAGAAGAGAAAGATGGGGTATTAAGAAATATGATTACGGTATTTTAGAAAAAACGTATCATATTTCTTATAATTAACTAACTTACCTAATTTCCTTAATCTAATCAAATTAGTTAAATGGGTCTTATATTAAGAACCGGAGGAGTAATTAATAACCAATCCTATCCTCTAGTTTCCATTCAGCCTTTAAAATCTTCTCCCATGATATATTTACATAAAAATCATTTGGAATATACAATCTCCAAGGCTTTTTCAAACTCATCTAGAGTTTCTCAAAAAAAAATTCAGCGCCTTCATGCGTGCTCTAGCCTATTTTTGGAGACTCTGATGCCTTCTTGATTATTCCAGAGTCTTCAAGAATTCTTTAAATCACTTCAAGACCTTCTGGAAATAATTGACTTTAAATCACTTTATATCACCTATCTGCCTTGTCTCCAAATTTCTTGGATAGGATAAATGCTTTTGTTTTTGCTTGAATCCAACCAAATAGGGACATTTTTATTGCAATTGACCATTGAGCACCTAGTTAGCTTGACTTGAATAAAAGTTTAGTTAATAATATTATTTTCGGTTATTGACAAAAGAGATAGTCATATATTCAAATTGATCATAAGTATGACTTTTTTTTTAAAAAAAAATGCTTGGAGTTTGGATCAAATAGAAACTGTATTTTTGGTCATTAAATAGAAACCATGTATTCTTAAACCCACTGATTGAATTTAAACATTAAAAGATCACGAGGATTTATGGGCGGCACTTGTTATTTGAGCTTTCCTTTCATTTTAAACTGGTGCAAATTTTTTTTATAAACAAAAAAGTAATTTGCATATATATATATATATTATAGTTTTATTGTTTTTTTTATTTTATATCAAACAGGTCGGCTGAGGAATATTAAGTGGTGTTTGGATAGTATAAACAATACTTTTTAAAATTACTTTTTCATAAATCGAAAGAAATTTCTCTATATATTTATTTCTTATATCGTAAAATTACTTTTAAAATTATGATTTGATTTCTATCTAAATACTCCTGAAGAAAAAGAAAACTTCTGACTATTTTATCAAATGTTAGTTATTATGGGAAAATTGATTCAACATCTTATATGGGTTAAAGATACGACTTACTCATCAAAATACTTTTTACCTCATATTTCTATGGAGAATCTTCTAAGTAATTCTTATAGGAAATTGTGGAAGAATGTGGTAAAAGCTATATGCAAAAATTCCATGACATACCAAGCTGCAGTATGTCATGTATTCTCATGCATTGTTTTTTGGTTGAAAAAGCACTACTGAACTCCATCACTTTTGATATCTTTTCCTTTCATTTTAAACTTGTACAAATTTTTTTTACAAACAAAAGGTAATTTTCATATATCTATGATTTTTATTGTTTTTTTTTATTTTATAGCAAGCATGTCAATGCCAAAATTCAAGTTTGGAAGCTCATTTAAGTGTGACGTTGCTTTTTTTTTTTTTGTGATAATACAATTGGGATCCACATGTTAAATGAAACAAGCTGCAATCTCAACTCATGCACCTCCACTCGATTTCAAAATTCGCTTTAAATCATGAATCATGAAGTTTAAGTAAAATTAACATTCACTTTATTTGAATAAATAGTAAATGATCAATACTAATTATATGATGAAAATTCAACATTGCATTTAACTACATTCTTTAAGAAAATTAAGTTATTTACTTAATTTTTATAACTTAATTTTTTAGAGAAAAGGAAAATTAAGATTGTCTTAGCTCAAAGAAACTTGAGTGTCATCGAAAAATACACACACATGTTAATCCACAAGAAGAAAATTTGGTCTGGAACAAAAACAAGAAGAAAATAGTCGATAGTCGCACGTGCACGCCCTGGGATGCATGGCATCTTACAGTTTGAGACACCGTCGCTTTATTATTATTACCACTCCATTATTAATTTCATTTTTTTTTATTTCATAAACAAATATCACTGTGATAATTTATCAGAGCTTCATTGACCCAATTCTGTTCTATTTTATTGCCCTTTTTTCCACCAGGGATAAAATTTTCAGCATCTTCATCAAGGTTTCGCCTTTTTTAGGGTTGGATTCGTATCTCGATTTTCTCAACTTGTCTCTGCTGATTCTCAATAGGGTTTGGATTTTTTCCCTCAAGAGTTTCGGTCATGCTTTCGGAGGATATTTTCAAACTCGCACTTCTTTGGGGTTGATTTGGTTCGTTTGTGATTTCTCGATTTTAGGGTTAGGGTTTGTTTCTACAAGTCAAATGGGTTGCTTGCATGTGAATTGGTAGTGTTATTTTGTTACCCGGTGGAAATGTTCTTTGATTCCCTAGTAGTAAGCAAAGGGCACTATCTTTTTTGAGTTATTGTGGAATAAAGCATCAAAATTCGGTATTTTTTAGGTCGGTTTCCTTTTGATTTGAGATAATTTTTGGCATTACAGTGCATTAAATTGGTGCGGCATTTGCTCGAATTTGTCACATACAAATTGAACAAGCTGGCATGCTGCAATTAAGTGGAGTGCTTGGAGGTTATTCTCACGGTGACAATCTAATTTGAGGTTGAATGTTCAGTCCGAGCATGGATTCTGCAAGGGACACAGGAGGTGTTGCAGGCACGGTGCTAATCCCGATGCGTTTTGTGTGGCCATATGGGGGAAGAAGTGTCTATCTCAGTGGTTCTTTTACACGGTCCGTCTACGATTAATTCCATATAAATTTATTGTTATTTTAGCCCCCTGCCTTCTCCCTATTTTCTTGGGGGGAAATGCCGTAGTTTATTTAGAGTAATTTATTGATGATTTTTCTTGGATTTATGCTATTTCGCGCATGCCTTTTATTTTCTTTAAATTTTGTTCCAAAGGTGGTCTGAGCTTCTACCAATGTCGCCCGTCGAGGGTTGTCCAACTGTATTTCAAGTTATATATAGCTTGACCCCCGGTTACCATCAGGTTAGTCTGTGCTTGACTGTACTGAAGTTAAAACGCTTTACTCTTCGTCACGCATTTTGGTGTGCACGTCATGCGGCATGGTGATTCTGGGGTTGCCACAAAGTTGGGTAAACGTTTTTCTGGGATGAGGCATAACTAGATTTAACGTGATACCGTGAAAGTTTCATGTTCATTTATCCGCGGTCTGATTTGTTGGACTTCATTAGTTCCATTGGCAGCCAAGCCATGTAAAAACATGCTGAGGCAAAATAGGATTAGCAAAGCCTGCGGCCAAGAGCAGCTTGTATAGTCGCTTTATATAAATAATAAAGCCATAGTTAATGGAGATGTGATGATGGAGGGACGATTGAAAATTTTTTTACTGAGGTTTAGAGTACAAGACATGCCACGTTTTTTCTTTTTCAATTTTTTTTTGAAGATTTCTGTTATTGTTGATTGTGCAGAAATAGCTAAGTAATGCTTTTGTGTTTGACATTGCAAATATCTGATCTGCATATGCACTAATGTATAGGAATTATGCCAATTTGAGAGAAATGACCCTTGATTTGTTGTGGTTGATTACTTATAAATAAATTACTTTATGCAGTACAAGTTTTTTGTTGATGGGGCATGGCGACATGATGAACATCAACCTTATGTACCTGGAGAATATGGGATGGTTAACACTGTTTTGTTGGCTACTGATCCTAATTACATGCCTGTTGTAACACCAGACCTAACTTCTGGATCAAACATGGATGTGGATAATGATGCTTTTCGACGTGTGGTAAGAATTTTCCATACTGTGAAAGCTGCTTCTTGTATTCTGACTTTTGGCTATATCTTAATTTTGACTCAATTTATGAAGAAAAAGAATTCTTAGGCTTTGATCTGGCTGGATATTTCCATAACTCATTCTTACACACACATTGTCAATAATGCCCATGAAGTCAGTAGTTCTGATCTATCTCAGTTTTATAAGTCTTCCATTTGGAACGATTATTTATTTTTCATGAACTGGCATATTTCTCTTAACCTGCTTACATATAATGTGCTTTAGTTCGCATCTATTCTGTTGCGTTTAAAGCTCTGTTTTACTCTCACGCATCCGATTCTTGTTCTTTTTTTTTAATCTTAGATTTCTGCTGCTCATTTTATAACAAGAACCTGTTGCTGACTAATGATGCAGGTCCGCTTGACAGACGGGACATTGACAGAAGTATTGCCAAGAATATCTGATGCTGATGTCCAGATATCCCGTCAGCGCATTACTGCATTCTTGACCATGCACACAGCTTATGAATTACTTCCTGAGTCAGGCAAGGTTTGGACGTCTAACCGTTAACCTTTTATTTTGGATTTTACGTTTTGCTTCTGGTCAAACTTTCCGACCACAAATTTGCTTAATTTCGTTACTGACTCAGAGACCTGGCGTAGGTTGTTGCTTTGGACATTGATCTGCCAGTGAAACAAGCATTTCACATTTTGCATGAGCAGGTATCCTTTCTTTTTCTGAGACTGCTATATGCTTTTCGGGCAAACTGGATATTTTGGATTTTGTAAGAATATGTTTGACCAGTGCCACCTTACTTTGCTTGCCTGTTGCCTAATAATAGGTGGGAAAGGACTAGTGACGTTTTTATTTTTTGTATTTATTTTTTAAATTCAAGCAATTGTTTCTGAAGATTTTCCCTGGAAAACGATTAAGCCTCTTGTTTGATTGCCTCATATGATTACCTGGCCTAGCTGTAGTCTTCCTTGTGTTTATAGCTTATTAGAAGCTTTCAAGCATCATTTCTAAATTGGGTTATTTATAGGGAATCCCTATGGCTCCTCTTTGGGACTTCAGCAAAGGGCTGTTTGTTGGTGTTCTCAGTGCTATGGATTTTATTTTAATTTTGAGAGAGGTATGCATTTGCTTACTTCGTTGAATTGTTGTATTGATTTTGAAAGGCCAAGGTACCACGTACACATGATGCACGCATATTACAGCACATGATAAGAAAAGGAAGGGTGTATAATATGTTTTGTCTTAGGATATACTTACATTCTGCCTTCAACATACTAAATCATAAACTTGTTCTGTTGGCTTTTCATGCCAGACACCATAGAATATTGAACGGTAGATTATTTCCATCCCCTTCTTTCTGACATCTACTATAAATAATTTATTTTTTTTCCTGATCTCTTTTTCTTTTAGTGCATCTCATATTTATTCTTTTGAAAATGTTTTTGGCTCCTAATGATATGCTATAGAAACTGGAAAAGCAATGACATTGTGTTATTCGCCAATCTCTCGAGTGTTCTTTGAATGAGTTTAAATTTTCCCCATTGTGTGGGTGTTTTTACTTTTTCTATCTTATCAAATGCTCGTGAATGTGTTATTTACTCATGCTGCTGGCTTCTTATGCCTATGATTCAAAGGGAAAGTTTAAACCTGTCTAGGGGAAAAAAAAAAAAAACCTCACTTGGGATAGTATGGGATCATTTTCAGTGTAATATTCTTTATGTTTCTTAAGAAGAATGAGAAGGATGTTGACTGTTTGAAGTGTTCATGTGGAGAAGAGAATTGGTGACACTTGTAATTTATGCCTGCTCTGTGCACTGCCAGTAGCTATTCTTCTGTCTATCTATTATTACAAGGCTCGCTGTAAAGTTTACCAGCATGAGTTTTGGTAATTGCATGTATGCCAGTGTTTGTATGATCTGTTATGCCTATTAAAATCCGTTATTGTTTCATTATCAGCTTGGAAATCATGGTTCCAATCTGACAGAAGAGGAACTTGAAACACATACCATATCTGCTTGGAAAGAAGGAAAATCATATCTTAGTAGACAAAACAATGGACCAGGAACAGCATTTTCAAGACGTTTTGTTAGTGTAAGCTAATTATGTGCCTTTTTGTAGCCCTTAATATGTGATATTGCTCACAATTGAGTTTTTGATTACTTGCAGTTTTGGGGTTCAATGTGTAGTTATTGACATGTAGAGATGTATGAGATTTGATAGTATCTCTTGTGTGGTGGTGAATGAGGAGTATGAGTTAATTGTACTTTTGGGAATGCTTGGGTAATGCTAGCTTGATGTGTCTGAATGAGGTGTATCTGTAGTGACTGTCTTGAAGCTTGCAGGATTTCATGATGAAGACTGTGTGCAGAAGATAGGTTTTGTCTTGTGTGTTTATCTAGCAAATTATGGGTTCTTACTAAGAACTTATTTTGTTTATGAATCACTCACTTATTTGATAGGAATGCATAATATATGCAAAGCAGTTTTTCTTTCTTCTTTTGGGAAGCGAAGAAATATAGTTGAAGTCAATAACTTAACAGAACTTATTTCAGGAATAAAATTATAACTTAGCAGTTGCAATTCGTATCTATGAACTGTGCCTCTTCAAATGATGTCCGCAAGCTCACAATTATTCTTTTTGCAACTATTATCTTGACCTTAGCAAAGAGGGAGAAGAAGCAAAAACTGTTTAAATTAAATTCAGTTTGCATATCAAGTGATTATGGGAATTTAAAAGATGCCTTTTGCATAAAGCTAAGGAAGAGGAGCATGTTCCTCGGCCTGGGAATATTACTAGTTAATAAGCTGTAACTTTATTACAATCCTGGGTTTTTAAGATTTATTCTCATTATCAGAATAATTTGACTCTTGTAAATTTGTCATTTTATAATTAGTCGTTAGTTTCTCCCTTCCACATCATCTATTGTACGAATTCATTTTTTTAATGTATGAACATATGAAGCTGCTCCTCGGGTTATTTATGATGCCTGACTCAATAATTCCCTTAATTAAATTTTTTATATCTACTTTGCCCCGGTGTTCAGGAAAATGCTTGCGTTATGTAATAAACTACTCCCCCCCCCCCAAAAAAAAAAAAACCAAAAAAAGCAGAACTACTTATTGTCAATGATGTTATGGTTATCTTGCAGGCTGGGCCGTATGATAATTTAAAGGATATTTCCTTGAAGATCCTGCAAAATGGAGTTTCGACTGTTCCTATTATCCATTCATCTTCTGAAGATGGTTCATTTCCACAGTTATTACACCTTGCTTCGCTTTCTGGAATACTTAAATGTAAGTCATTAAAATAGCATTATTTATACTGTTGATTGGCATCCTCGATTCTCACCAGATTGATTTTTCAGGCATTTGCAGGTATTTCAGGCATTGTACCAATACATTGCCTATTCTTCAACTACCCATTTGTGCAATTCCAGTGGGCACATGGGTGCCCAAAATTGGGGAGTCAAATCGGCAGCCCTTGGCAATGTTGAGACCAAGTGCTTCTCTTGCTTCAGCCCTAAATTTGTTGGTTCAAGGTGCTATTTCTCTGCTTGACCTTGAAAATTGTGTATCAAACAGCAACAGATAACAACATAGAGAATGGTATCTTAATATTTACCTGGTATGCTGGGCTAGTGGTAGATGTCCCTTCTCCCACAGTGAGAACGTTGATATGTGTGATTAACCATCAAAAAGAGAGGGGGAATGTTTCAGCTAAGATGAAACAAGGGTGATTCCATTGTGTGGTTTGTTTGAAAAATGACTTGGTCTTTCTTATGTTTGATCTTGTTCTCTGCTTTTGCAGCACAAGTAAGTTCAATACCAATAGTCGATGATAATGACTCATTATTGGATATATATTGTCGGAGGTTAGTTGTGTTCAAAAATCATTATTATACTTCATCCGTTTTCTGAGGTACTGGAATTAATTGAGGATTCGAGCTTGAATTGTCTTGGCTGTTCATTCTTAACAGTGGCTTGTCATGTTTCTCACCTTCTCTCCTATCCTTTGTTGACAGTGATATAACAGCTTTGGCAAAGGACAGAGCTTATACACATATTAAGCTTGATGAAATGACCGTTCATCAGGCAAGTTATGTTTGTTTCTTTATAAACAAAGTTCTGCTCTCAAATTTGGTGATGGAATGAATAGCCACATCTTTTCCTTATAAGTCTGGTTATTCTGCTGAGCCTGAGGGCTGAAGCCGGTGCCAAGTCATGAATTCATATTATGAACTTCAGTAGAAGCAGCCTAATTTTTCTGGGACCTTAGCAAGATCCTAATGCCATACTATTGGGAATTCAAAAAAATTTTCCAGGTTGTGTTTTGTTAAATCCGAAGGATCCCAGTTCTCCTTGGCCTTTTATAGTACTCATAGGGAAATCCTAAAATCATTGCAATAGCTAAGTATTAACAATAATAGCTGAAAAGATCTCTATTTGGAGGAATTGTGACTTATTTTGTGGGTGAGAACCTTGATTCCCTGGTTTTTGTTTTTATGCATCATGTCTAGAGCAACAGAAATATTTTGCAGTTCCTCTTTCGGTTTGGTAGCGAATGATTTCAGAGCCACTTTTCTCTTCATTTTTGTTTTTGAAATTGCAATTTAAATGCCCTCAGATCAGGATTTTTGCAATTTGTTATTAATTGTAAAGTGTTTTTATAAATTATGATTCATAGGTCTGTCGAAATTCAAGAGTAATATTAAAACATGTCATCTTGATTGTATTCTTGAGTTCTTACTTTCTCTTGTATGCTCCATATCTCTAGGCGTTGCAATTGGGTCAGGATTCTTACCAGCCTTATGAACTGAGAAGTCAAAGATGTCAAATGTGCTTGCGATCTGATTCTCTGCATAAAGTGATGGAACGGCTGGCTAATCCAGGTGGATTTTTATTTGTTTTTCTATGAAATATGCGTTGATGTTTTTCTTTTTCTTTTTGTCTATATTAATGATGTAATAGCTATTCAGTCGAGGTTGCCTTTTTTCTTTTTACGCCGTCTTGGCACTGTAGCCTTCAGTTGTCTTGATCATCGTAAGGATAAATGTTCCATAGTTGCAATATTTAGTGTATCCTATTGAATAATCCACAACATTCAATGTGAAAGTAGGCATCCTAACACTGGTCTTCATTAGTTACAGTCCTTGGGATGCCAGCATCTCATTGGCCACACTATGAGACACTTCACTTGATTTCTTTGCCTGTTAGAATCCTTTATATACAATTCTTTCTAGAATCAGCTGCTAGCATTGATACCTATTGATAGGCACTCATTTGGGTAGGTTGTGATCCACTTGGGTGCCCATCGATTGTCCCATCATCTTTCTCCTGACCCACAATTTCTGATGGGTTCTGCCAAGTTCAGAAGCTTCTTTCCCGTAAGAATCATATGAATTCTCATTCTTCAAGCGCTTTTTTTTTTTTTTTTTTTTTTAATATTCCAACTTTTTGCCTCTGCCCCACTCATGAGTTGTGACATTAGGGGTTACAATTGCAATATTTATTTACTGCAATGCTTTTCACCAAATTGATGAAGTAGACTTTATCCTGATTATGTCTGTCTTGTCAATTTAACTGCTGTTCACTTGTGGATTTCAGGTGTCAGGCGGCTAGTCATCGTGGAAGCCGGTAGCAAGCGTGTAGAGGGCATTGTTTCACTGACTGACGTAGTCAAATTCTTGCTTGGTTAGTTTGGGTCTGAAGAATCGCAGTAGCTTGCCCAGTGGTTATGACGCGTCTGCTTATATTTGTTAGGCAGCACCACCTGCCCAGCCATTGCAATGCTTTTTACAGGGTGATTTGATCTCATTTCATTGAAAATACAATTTGATTGGCCTCTTGCTTTATTGCCTCCTTTCAAGATTTTAGGCTAGAGAGAGAGAGAGAGAGAGAGGCCTGTAAATTGAGAGTATTTGATTGTCCTAAATTTATTCATCTCCCCTCCATTCTTATTATCTTCAAATATGTTGTGCCATCTGATATAGATACGTGCTGATGTAGTAGGGAGCACCAAGATCTGTGTAATCTTTCTGTGCTGTGCTGTGAAGATACTAAGTTTGGAAAAGAAAAAAGAAACAAGGAAAAAAAATTGATGGGAGGACAAATATTGAACTAATGTTGTGTCATGATATTGACTTGTCAGCTTTTGTTCTTCAATGCTGTCTTGAGGCTCCCGCTGAGAGAAAAGTACTCGAAACTTCCCCCCTGTTGTCTCAACCCTCCTGTCTTCTGAAAAGTCAAGCTGTGAAAGGGGAATCAGTGCATCTTCAGTGTGAAGAATGGGTTCTATATATGCAATGTAGTTACAAGCTCTCGAATAACTATAACAACCTCTCCCTTCATTATCACCAGGGATTAATGTGTTGAGTGTTTACATTGAAGTTATCTATGAAGGACAGGAAGATGGTTGGGCTACCAAATGCAAGATTGAGAAGTGGTAATAAGCATTTAATAATTGACAATATATATAAATAAAGTGAGCAACGTATGTATCAAGGTGAAAAAAAAAGGGAGCAACTTATGGTCTAAATGATCGGATGTGTTGGTTGTAAAAATTTATAAATTACTGACATAGCAAAACCAATGGCTGGCCATCTTGCGAGTTCGGACAGGTTGTTTTGTGTCGGTTGGGATTTCATGCCATTGGTAGCCCAATGGGATTTCATGCCATTGGTAGCTCATTTGCTCATGGAATTTCATAGGCGGCTTAATATTAGTGCTGTTAAAAATAGAATAAAGTGTTTCCACCAAAGCCAAAAAGAAAGAATAAAGCATTGGCTTTAAAAATTTGAAAAAGATTTCAGCAAAATTAGAAGGGGTTAATGTTTGAAAAATTAGAGATATAGTAGATTTCTCAGTAATGTTGTCAGATGGACGATTGTTTTCAGCATAGATGCGAGGATCCCAAAAGGAGCTTGAAAAGTTACAAGGGATCGGGTGCATGCGTGAGAGAAGCAAGGTGATGAAGTTAACATCTCGAATATTTTACTTGACACATTTCCCCCCCTTTCACTTGAATTTAACTGATGCTTAAACAAATGTATATAAAACACTTTGAATTAAAAATGATCTTAAATATGTTACACATTTCGGAGTCTCTTATTCTTCTCAAAAAATTGGGGAAAAATTCCATTTACAGTTCCCAAGTCATTATTCCCCTTCTCCATTAATTCCGTCCCACGACAACTTAGTTAACGACAAAAACAAAAACAGAAAAACAAGCATCCTTCAAATCCTAGATATTGAAACTTAAAATCCCATTCCTTACCAATCACTTGCATAATGACGGACCATTTAAATTTCACCCCTAGCACGACGAATAACCCAAGTTCAATGACCAAGATGGACCAAATTTTTACCACTAACACAAACTAAAATTGAATGATGCTGATAAAAGCCTCTGACCCTAGCTTCATTGTAATGTTCCTTGCATTACTTCCAGATAATAAGAATAAATAAGATATTGCTATCAATTATTAGTAAAGCCACATATAAGATATTGCTATCAATTATTAGCAAAGCCACATACTAGTTGCATCCAATAAACAGGTTGTTGCCAAGGGTTAGTTGCATTAACATGAAAACCCTAATACTTGAACTGTGAGATTAATTTTGTTTCCATTCAAAACTTAGTAGAGCTTTTCTTTTGCCCAAAAATATGTTTCTTAAACTATTGGTCTGACCAAAAGCAAACTACCACGGTACCTTCACAATACAGTGTTTCAAAATGACATTTCCATATTCTGTGATTTAACTAAAGCCTTCAATTTCTTCTCTTTCCTCTTCATGGATCCATTTTTGTTCACTTTTTTCTTGGGTTGCTCCTCTACCACTGGTTGAGTACTCAACAAGTGCTGATGAATGGCTGATAGGGGATCCGTTTGGAACGAAGGGTTATTAAGATTTTGTAAAAACCGCCCTTGTTCCTTCATTCTGAAAAACAAAGACACAAGTTAACAAATACATTGTTACACGTCAAGTGTCAAATAAGGTCATCATATAATGTTGAACTATGGCAGAAGAGCTCACAATATCTTTTTTCTAGATTTGCAATTTAGTTTCAAGTTATCCACCGGTTGTCGTCGCGCCTTCAACTCAGTAAGGGACTCCAAATCAGGAAGGGACCCACAGAGTGCGGAGAGGTCATATGCCTTCAATTTCTTCTCGCGTCTTTGTTGGTTTCTGCTCTTCTGCTAGAAGAGAAATTCAATTCGCAAGTATGTATGACTACTAAAATGAATAAAGGCAACTACAACAAGCCAATACTTGCAAATTAGATTCTCTAAGGTCAATCAGTTAGACATACGAAGAGAACGATTCAAAAGAAGTCACACTAATCACAGCCTCTGAATATTACAGTTTTACCGGAAAATTTCATATAGCATAATATATTTAGCTCTTTACTTTGTGAATTAGTCAAACCAGCAATTAGTTCTTCGATGATTTCATATAGGTACGGGTCTTCAACACCATATATTAAAATATTAATAAATGTCTTCAAGAGGGCTAAGAACAAAGCTGTTGCTATAAAGTTCTTACCTTCGTAATTGACTTTTGAGCACTCAAGGAAGTAACACTAGCTCTAACCTCTGCATTAATCAAGGATTGGGATAAGGTGAATTGTTAACATATGACCAGATGTGACATCAAATACAAAAAAAGCCCAATCCATACCCAACATATATAAATAACTCATACAACTAGTATCAAAGCAATGCATTGTATTCTTCTCTCTCAATAGCACCAACTATGACGTGTGAACAAAATATAGAATATTCAATTTATAAAAAAACAAGCCCAACACAAACATTGACAACTTGACACTTTAAAAATCATAAAACGCAGCACAATATGGTATATGTGCGTGCGCATGCACAAAGGGGATATATCTAAAGCAATGTGTCCCTTGTTGCAAGAGGCGAGGGGAATCACTACACTACAGTTGGATCAAAAGTAATCGTTTAAAACTTAAAATTAAAGCACCTCACTAATGCAATGAAGACACCTAATAACTGGCTATAATTAGCCATCTACATCGACAGAGAAAAACAACTTCCATGATCCTAAATTATAAATATTTTACATTAATATTCCAAAAAACAACTCAACAAAAAGATGTTAAACTATATTTCATCAAGAAGGGTTTCTAGTCTCCCCTCGGTGGTTTACTACTTCTTGGGCCAGTCATGTCAAAATGGCTTGACATGTGATTGAGCCAAAGGAATATATATGTTCTGTCGTATCTATATATGTGGGCATTTAGGAAATTTTTGCACTTCTCAGCCAGTATTTTCTCACCTGTCAAGAAAATAAAGAATACCACATTGCCTAAGTGACCATAGCATCATAGTCTCTAAACCTCAATATACTGCAAGTTTCCAGCCTAATCAAATGATCGTTCATTGATTTTAAGACTTATTAAGTGTATCATCACCTTCACGCATGTCCCCGATAGAATGTTAGTTTTTCCCAATTACATGCACAATCATCTTACATATTCATTATAGGAGGATCAATGACAGCGCCCATTGATCTATCTTCCACAATAGCAGAGTCAATAAGAGCACCCATGGAAACAACTGCGTCTCAAACACGCAAATTCACATGGAAAACTCCACAAACACGAAAGGATATTTCACTCAAAATGATCAAAGACATCCTTTACAAGCCTCTTCTAGCTTTACTTACATGCTGAACCTGCAACGACTAGTAGACATAACTATTACCCTATCGACCTATGCCCCTATTCCTATCACCTACATGCCATAAAATATGTCCCTCGTTTATACTATAGAATAGGAAGAATGGACAGGCAGGCTAAACTTTTAAGCAAGTACAAAATTACAGCTATAATGTGAAAATTATGTAATATTACGTATAATGTTAAAGCACTGCTTTAAATTTATTTTTTTAAAAAAAAAAACTTACTGCCATAAAATTCGAGCTTCTTTTCAAACTTGCGCTCAGCTTTTGATCCTGGTCTGCATTCATCAAGGATAAAAGCAAGGAGATGGAGCAGAACGAGGAAGCGGAGCGTACCGAGATAAATAGAGAAGTTCAAATTTGAAAGGAAAACAAAAGGGAAGTTCGGGCTGTCACGTACCTTGCACTAGTCTTGCCCATTACTGGTCCTTGTTTTAGGGTTCTTGTGTCTACTAGTGATTGCTGTTAAGGGAAGGAATCCAGAAAGCAAATTTAAAGTCAGTCTTCTTCGTCTTAAATCGTAAAGGTCTCGTTCGGCGAAAGGGAGAGAAGATGAGAACTCAAGGAAAACAGAAATATGACAACGGATGTACTCTCTTCGATCGATCGGCGAGGGCAGCTCAACCGGCTGATTAACCACAGTTCACAACGACGGAGATTATGAGGCGGGTAGAGGCAATGAGGGCGGTGGAGGCGGGAGGCGGCAAATGCAGATACAGAGCTTCACCTCCGTGGACGGCGCGGGAGGGACTGAGGACCCAGGAGTCGATACCGGTCTGGGGGGGTGGAAAAATATCCGAGCGGTATCCCCACAAGTTTTTTACGTCATGTGATGCACAATTATAGTTAAAATTCATAAAAATTGAATATTGAGTAAATATTAACTTAATAATGCTTAAGATGTGTAGAATAACATATTAAAGCCTTTATAATTTAGCCCAATTCTTAACAATCGAATAAATAATAAGTATTAATATAGGTAACTTGTAAATAATTTAGTAAAATTTATTTAAATTATAAATTTATTTTTATAGTATAAATTATACTCCTCGGGTCCTTATTATAAGACGAGTAGTACATTTAAGACAAGAAGGAGTAATATATATTTATGTATAAATATAGATACCAATTCTATGCTTGCAGTTAGAGCCTTACAACCCAGTTGAATTGGAAGTACTCTGTTAAAGCTTTATTAAGAATGAGGTCATAATTTTGAATTCTAAATTGAAAACACAATCATATAAGATGCATGAGTTAAAAAAAAAATTATGTGTGTATATAAACAGGAGTTTAAAGTAAATAGGTCATATTTATTTACCTAAAGAAGTTTGATTTGATTGAAAAACTTAAATCTAACCTTTTTTATTACAGCATGCGCAAGATATCAAACAAGCCATCTATAAATCCTGGAGAGATTTGTTGACCTATGTCCATATTTAATTATTGATATAAGAAAACCAAAATTAGCTTAACTTAGTCAAATTAATTAGGAAGAGGCTTTGTTTATATCAATAAATTGTCACATCTGTGAGAAAGCTTGCTTCGATTATTTAAGATCCTAATCAGCACGTGTTTCAGCATGTTTTTCTATTAATATTTTTGGAAACAATATTTTTTTTTCTTCATTCGAATTGGAAACAGATTTTTTCTTTTTGTTATTCTATTTGTGTATTCTTTCTAAATTCAAGAACTAACTCCCGAATTGTAAATAAATAAAAAAAACGCGAGGACATCTAAATTAAATCTTCTTGTTTATCAAAAAAATAAAATCTTCTTGACTTTATCTACATTAATAACAATAACACGAGTCTTATTAAATGAGATCCACATGAATTTTAACTATGTGACAATTCGAATGCCTTGTCGTTTTTTTGTTTTGGTCATCATATTGCAAAATACTAGTAACAATCACAATTCACGATAAGATTTTGGAGTGGGCATTAATCAATCTACGGTTGACCTTCAACTTTCAGTTTAATATACTTATATGATCCTATTTATAAGTCATTTTTAATATGTTTTATACAAATCAAGAAAAACTTTAAATTTTATTAATTCTCGTTTAAAATTCAACAATTTTTCAACTTTATTTTTATTTAATATACATTATACCTCATGTAAATAAAGTAAATACAATAATAAATGAAGCATAAAATTGTACATCGATACAAAAAATTTCTTGGAACCAAAAAATATCTTTTCTCTCTATCATATAAATATGATAAATGAGTATTATATTAAATGCTCTAATTAAATGTGTTACCTTTTTTTTTATAATATTATAAGGGTTAATACAAACTTTGGTTTTTTAAGTTTATTTTCATTTTGATTTTGATCCCTTAAGTTTATTAAATGGTCTGATTAAATATTTTACCGTTTTTTATAATATTATAGGGGTTAATACAAACATTATAAGTTTATTCAAACAACAGGTTTTGGTCTCTTAAGTTTCTCTTCATTTAAAATATTAGTCCCTGCAATTTAATAAAAATTTGAATTACTGTTTTTTAAGGGACCAAAATCTATGGTTTAAAACTTGAAGGATTAGAAACAAAATGAGAACAAAACTTAAAGGATAAAAAATATAACTATCTCTAATTGAAATTGTGTTTGTTTATGTGAAAATATATTAGAATTAATTATATTATGTCATTTAGAATTATATTAGAATATTATCTAGGATTATAGTACACTATCGTATCTTAGAAGAATAGATTTGAGATACTAAGATTAGATTAGATTAGATAAGATTCTAGGTTTAGTTTGTTAGGTTATAATTTGCCTATATAAAGGCCCATCTGTACTCTTATTATTGAATTATTAATACTCCTTCGGTCTTTAATATAAAACTCATTTAACTAATTTGATTAGATTAAGGAAATTAGGTAAGTTAGTTAATTATAAAAAATGTGACACATTTTTTTCCTAAAAAACCATAATCATCTTTCTTAATACCCTCTCTCCCTCTTCTGTTTGATTGTGGTTGGGGGAGTATTCATAGGGGTAATTTAGAAAAAATTGATAAATATGAGAAATGAGTCTTATATTTAGGACCAAAACCAACTCAACAATTGGGTCTTATATTAAGGACCAGAGGAGTAATATTCTAAAGTTCTTATTTCTCTCAACTCTCAATCCTTCAAATTCTGACATGGTATCAAAGCCTTGGTATCATAGTCAAATTTAATGTTATGCCCTATGTGTTTATCTAAAATACTTATCATTGGACGTTTAGTTTTATTAGGCCAATAATTGCTTACGTGGTCCAAGTACTCAAACCGGATGGGATAATTTCATATTATATTTGTGTCAACTTCTCAAACATTCAGTTATTATGCCTAGGATCTCCATCCTGAGTTTGCTATTTGTCTTGCAACCGATGATATAACATCTCAAATTTTGATCTTAAAAGTGTAAGAAATCACCTGAAATGTGCAGGCTAATGAACCCCAATTGACAAGAGTCTTGGGAATTTTCTAAATTGATAGAAGAACTCTCAAGGATTAAATGATAAAGAGAAATTTTTTTGGATCAAGAGACGAGAAAGATAGAGACTCCAACGAAGTATCGGGGGTTGAGTGTGAGAATTTGATATGAATATGGGCCAAAAGACATGCTAAAAACCTTAAAAGAGATGATTATCGAGGCTAAATCCTAGCAGGATACTAGTTGTAATTTTAAAAAGTTTCAGGTTAGAAAAGACAATATAGAAAGTTATGCCCGAAAATTTCTGAAAATGTATGACATTATATATTTATGTTATGAATTCTATTATGCTGATGTATGATATGAATATGCCATTAATGTTATATAATGATGAATGATGAGAATGACAAGTATAACTGAGTATAATGATGTATGATAATTTTTTAAGAATTATTGAAATAATTGCATGCAAAATAAAAAAGGTTTATAACACGTTAATGTAAGTAAAGTGATAAATTTTCCTACTATAAGCAGTAAACTTGTGACAAAGTAAAGATAAAATAGATGAAAGAATCTACCCATAAAATTTGATGAACGGTTAGTACATATTCTAAGTTTTAAAACAAGTGGTAGATTATCTAAATTGGATGTGTGTGCTAAGAAATACAATTGCTCAAAGCTAGGGTAGAGAATATGAAAATGTATTGTTTAACCAAATAAACAGTACAAATTGAGAAGATTTATCTCAAGATTTATATTTTTTCCTATAGATGATTGAAAGAGCTTTAAATAAAGATTCAAATTACCTCAATTGAATTTTTTTATAATTAGTTATGAATTTTTAAAATTGGATTAAAAATATGAAATTTACTAGTAAATAGTCACTCAATAATCAAATTTCAAATTTTTAATCTACAGGCTTATTTTATGATTTGGTTGGAATGTATGATCTCTGTTTTTTGCTCAAATAAAAGCTTTATCATGATCTTTTGTTGGTTTTTTTTGGGTTAAATTTTTTCCTTTGGTATGAATGTCATTACAATAAAAAATTTCAAGATAAAAAAATGTTAAGATTTGAAGGATTAAGGATTGAGAGAAATAAGAACTAGAGCTGTTCATGGGACGGGACGGGTCGAGACCAGGACGGGCCCATCCCGGTTCTGTCCTAATGAATGGTAACGGACAAGGAATTTGTTCCGTGTCCCGTCCCGTCCCGATATTGTCCCGGTCCCGGTACTTTTTTTTTTTAATGCTGTGGGCCTTTTAATAGGAGATTTTAAATGATGTGGGCCTCTAATAGGAGATTTACTTTTCATATATCAACAATTTTACAATCTAAGCAATAACATATATGAAGATAGCTTTATATCTACTCATTTATTGAATGCTCGTGCAATATATAGTGAGGATACACTGAAAAATAAATTATTACTCAGCAACATCATGATAATTCAAGTATTCAACAAATAGGACAGTAAAAAAACAAAGTTAATCATGTGATGGATCTTGACGGGACAGGAAGTAGGAACAACTAACAAGCATCAATTGTCATATATTTTTTGAATATAACCAACGTTATATTCACAATAAAAGCTAGCTGGAGACAATTATATATATTACTACTTCACAAACCATCAACCAAAGAATGATACATATAAATTTTAAAAGAATTCAACAATCAGGAAAATTCAAAGAACCAGCGAATGAGGCAAATTAACACGGTGGGTTTTACTCATTTCACAAAAGATTTTCTTTTCTCTATCTCATTTGTGAAGAATATCAGACAGATCCCAATTGGCCAATCCATAGTCCATATTCATACAAAGAGACAAAATATCGTGTTGGCTATTAAGATGAAATCAACAAGCATGGATGAAGAAAAAGATATTAAAAAGGATTTTTAAAGACTCCAAGATCAAGAAAAGCAATGAAAACTCACGGGTATGAGAAACAGAGAAAACAGAAATCGAATGGCTTGGAGACGAGATGAGGCGAGTGTGTAGTCTATAGCAAAGACACATGCCGACAACAGACTGGGGGTCGAAGAGAAGCTAAGCAGGTTGCGACTTCAATGGAGGCTAGAACTGGCGAGTGAGACCGTGAGTGAAAAGACGAAGTCGAGACGAGAGAGGTAGAGTGAATTAGTAAGCACTGAGCACTGTTCTCATGCGGCCTCTTTCGCACTTCGTAGATGAGAGAATAGCTGAGAGCGAAGACTAAGAGGTGAGTCACGAGAGCTTCAGCCTTCAGCAAGAGTGTAAGATAGCGACGGTCGACGGAAGTGAAGTAGTGAACTGTGGAAGGGCGAAACGAAAGTAGAAAACTAAAAATAGACTTAGGGATTCATATTTTATTTGTTTTTACTTTTTAACATTTAATAATAATATATAATTCATAATATAATATAACATATTTTTAAAAAAACATATACATATTGGGACGGGACTGGGACGGGATGACCCCCGTCCTGTGTCCCGTCCCGTCCCGGTACTATTTTTGTCCAGTTCTGAAAAATTTCAGGACGGGCCCGTCTCGTCCCAATAAGACCGGAACCAGGACGGGCCGGCTATGAACACCCCTAATAAGAACCTCATAATATTATTAATCCTTCTGAATAAGAAGAATACAAATGAGCTTTATATAAGCAAACCATAACCTAAACCTCAAAATTTTATCTAACCCAATTTAATTCTAATATCTCAAATTTATTCTTCTAAGATATGATAATATACTATAATCCTAGATAATATTCTAATATAATTAATTCTAGATGACACAATATTAATTAATTTTAGTATATTTTCACACTCCCCTCAAGCTGAATATCCAGCTTGAGCTGGAGATTTCGCTTGGATATTTATGCTTCTCAAAACTTTCCCTAAAATTGAGGAGTAACAGCTTGGGTGTGAGTTATAGTATTCAACCTGGGCGTGAGTTACCTGAGTTGCAAATGATCATTTGATTGGAAGTCAGCGTTGGAGGAAGATGATCTCGATGAGGAGGCATGTGATAGCAGAAACAACATAGGGCAACATGGATTTGGATGGAACCAGAAATGGACTGTGAGGCAAGAATCTAGACAAAACCAAACATATTACGAATGCAATAATTTAGAACGAATCTAAATGTACTACAAAGGCAAGAATCTAGGACGAAACCAGAAGTACTGTTAAGGCAAGAATTTGGGATGGAATCAGACAAATTGCAAAGGCAACAACATATGCGTGACAGCACATCAGACGAAGGTAGGTGGATGCAAAAAAAAATGCAACATGGAGAGAGAAAGTCTCTATAGCACAAAGCTTCAGGATGCTTAAGGTAGATGATGAACGCGACTATCCAAGAGTGATTCCGATCACGAAACGAGCTGCAAACTAGGAGACAATCCCCATTTTGAAGGATTGAGAGAAATAATAACCTCAGAATATTATTAATCCTTCGTAATAAGAAGAATGCAAATGAGTTTTATATAAGCAAACCATAACCTAGAGCTCATAATTTTATCTAATCCAATCTAATGTTAATATCTCAAATCTATTTTTCTAAGATATGATAATATATTATAATCCTAATATAATTCTAGATGACATAATATTAATTAATTTCAATACATTTCTACAGTTTAAGAACAAGTTAGGGAAAAATAAGAGGTTAAATATGTTGAGTCGGTTAGAATACACGTGGAAGGGAATTTTTATATCACCCATATATGCATATATATGTTGTATGTTTTTGTCAATATAAATTAGACTTATAAACCTAATGTGCGTGTTTATATCATTCATTATGTGACTCAGTTTGAAGACATGCAAATAAATATAAATTTTTTTAAAAAAATTGCATGTGGCCTAAGAAAACTCACATGATTTTGTGACTTGCGAATTGTTCTATTTGTACTAGGTTTAATAAGTTTTATTTTCAAGTTGTGTTACTCTTTTGTTTAGAATATTTTTAGGATAAAACCTAATTTAACATGAATTTTATATTAGTCAATATTCAATATGATTCTAAATATGAATGGCTTGCTATTAACAATAACTAATAACGTCTGGGAGTTAGAATTTTCAAAAAAAACCTGAGAAATCTTTTTAAATAAAAATATATTTTTTGTCTTTTCCTGGAATTTTAAAATCCTATTTTAAGATCTCACAACTCATAGGGCTTACAGAATTTTTTTTGGTATAACTTAGAGTATTATTAAGTCATTTTTGGTTTAAAACTAATCCCTGTAAAAATGTTAAAGTTAAAACCCTCCTAACAAATGTGCTTATCAAAATTCAAACTTATATTGTTTTTTTCCTTACAGATCTTTACAGAATGAGATCGCTTATTATTTTAATCAATAAATGGGATTATGGAAATTTAGCCTGTCTTTTTGTTGTCTAACAATTTTAAGGTTCATTTTCTGTTATTTTCCTTATTTTTGCAAGGTGAGGGAGAATTTTTTTTTTTTCAGTTTCCAAGGAAGATCGTCATGATGCCACGTGGAAGCAACAGCATCTATCTTATGTTCCTGTATGGCAGTCAGATTAATTAATCTCATAATCACTTTTTGTATTAACGCTAATACAAGAGGACAACTCCGTTCTCATAATCTAAGAGTATTGACCTTTACTGCCACACGCGCCAAAAAGGGCGTTTCGGTCTTTTGATTTTTCACAAGGCTTGACCGACACCAGCATCCCACTAAACTTTGTTCCTTAATTCGCTTATTTATTTTGACCTGCCTTAACTTACTCATTTAACATCTTCTGGTAAGTTCAAATAAATAAACGTAAAGCTGGCCAATAAACAAATAAGCGTAACATTAACTATTTATTTCCTACAATTTTTTTTAAAGAAAATGCCGGAAAAAACAAATTTCAGCGAGATTATTTTCGTTGATGTCAGCGATGTTTGGCGCGTACGTGAGCAAACCAACAAACTGTCAGACCAATGAGAGAAGGCTCAAAGTGAGGCATAGAAGGAAAGATCAAAGATTAACGCTTTGAAACTGAAAGGAAGTGAGAGAGACTAGAGAGAGAGCAGGAGGCCAAACTGGGAGCAGGGACGCTGTCGTTCTCGCTTTCTCTCTCTTTCTGCGTGCTTGTGACTGTGTGTATGAGTCCAAAACTCCCAGGCAATCCAATCCGTTTCTCTCTCTAGTTCTCTGTTGAGACGGCCCCATTTGATCGGAGCCTCTCATTCCCTGTGCCCAATTACTGCGTAGTCGGTTCTCGTCCGGTTTGGTCTTGTCCATACAATGGAGCGGTACGGCCGGGCGAGTGACGAGTCGCAGTCCGATCCGTCGCCGGAATGGACTGGAACCGGAGGCGAAACAGGGCTTGAAGGTGGGTGTGTAGGCTTCTGCATTCTGAATTCTGTTCCTTGTTTGACAGGATTTTGGGTCCTGGTATGGTGATTTGTGGGTTTAGTAGAATGCGGAGTGTCATATACTGAATTTGATCTTGATTTCACGAATGCAGAATCTATGCGGCAATTGGGATTGGTTGGTGGGGAATCGTATCCACAACGGCCCTATGAGGCAGATTGTATCCACTATTTGAAGACAGGGTTTTGTGGCTATGGCTCACGGTGTCGGTTCAATCATCCCCGTGACCGTGGCGCGGTAAGTTTGTTGTGGTTGATTACCGGACTGTTTTTAAGATTAAAGGACATCGTTTGGTTTTTGATGTGATCCATCGCTTCAGTTTGGTTTGATCTTTGTTATGACTCATGATCGGTACATAATATTTGAGCGCACGACTTCATAAAGCTTTTTGTTGCTGGGATTGCCTTCAGGCTGTGGCTTTTCAAGTTAGTGTTAGGATCATTACAAAATCAAATCAACTCGACTGAGACTAAAATGTTTGTATTTGATAGTGTGATTGGACCTTTAATAATTTGGTACATATATATGCTGTTTAGGTTATAGGAGCTTTGAGGACTGTTATGGAGTATCCAGAGCGAGTCGGCCAGCCTGTATGTCAGGTACTTTATCTGGTTCTGCTATACACTCTGGGAAAATATTATTAATAGTATTGCTTTTGCCATCGTCATTCATACTGGTTATACAAAATGTGATAATCAACAGTCATTTGTATATTCTAAGAGTAGAGTGAAGTTGAGTTATTATCTGCTTTGGCAGTCTTCAAAATTGATGGCTGGCCTTTAGTATTAATTTGATCTACTTACTTAAACTGCAGTATTATATGAGGACACGATCTTGCAAATATGGTGCTTCATGTAAGTACCACCATCCTAGGCAGGAAGGAGGAGTTGCTCCTGTTCCACTTAATTATTATGGATACCCAATGCGACCGGTTTGTATAACATTATGTTTAGCCCATACTTGTGTGTTTTCTTTAGATATTGGATGGATAGGTATTTTCTAACCATGGCAATAATTTGTCCCAAACTTACATTTTACAAATACAGGATGAGAAAGAGTGTTCGTATTATGTGAAAACAGGACAATGCAAGTTTGGCACAACTTGTAAGTTTCATCACCCACAGCCTGCTGGTGTTCAAGTTCCTGCGCCATTACCAGTTCCCCAAGCTTCAACTCTACCTGTACGAGTACCTTCACCATTCTATCCACATATGCAGCCTCCATCTGGTCCTTCATCACAACAATATGGTGTAATGGTTGCAAGACCACCTCTGCTACCAGGGTCATTAGTCCAAAATCCTTACGGGCCTGTGGTCATGTCCCCTGTCCCTTTTTCAGGCTGGAATCCTTATCAGGTAGGTCAAGCTTTTCCTTTCACAGTTTCGACAGATTACATTGCATTTGTTGATGGCAATGCCCTTTAACACTTTACACAGGCTCATACAAGCCCAGCAGTTCCTTCTAGTACTCCCTCTAATGTTGGCTCAACGCACCTTTATGGAAATACCCAGCTACCTTCACCCGCACCTCCCTATACTGCACTTTACCAGCCTTCGGGTTCCTCATTTGGCCCCTTGAGCACCAGTCAGAGAGAACAGCATTCATTTCCAGAAAGACCTGGTCAACCAGAATGTCAGCATTACATGAGAACAGGGGAGTGTAGATTTGGTCCTTCCTGCAGATATCATCATCCACCTGAATTGATTATACCAAATGTGAATGTGGTCCTTAGTCCTGTTGGTCTTCCTATGCGCCCGGTAACTACCAACCCTCAACCCTTCTTTTATGATGCCTTGGGATATGAACTTGATATTCCATCTTCTCTCTCCATCTGGCTAAAACTTTAGTATCATTGACCAGTTATTAAAATTTGTATACATCTCTTTAAAATCCTCCATTGTTGATATACCTTAACATGTATTTCAACTTTTTAATCATGAAAGCCTGAAAGTTTGTGTTACTTGTTGATGTGGTAACTTGTAAGATGATACTGAGTTATGGCTAAGATACATAAAATTGATTGATGCTCTTTTGTATTTTGTTTCCACGCTATGTTTCAGTTAAGTTCTTCTATAACACTGCTGGGGAATTCCTTCATTAATGTATAAATATGAAGGGATATTGTTTTACCTTGTCAAGAACTTCTGACGGTCATTTCTTACATATTTCTTATTCTTGGGTCAATTAATTGTTTCTTCTTGTCGTTGACCTTCAACCGGTTACAGTTCTTTGTATTTTTTGTTTTATCACTATCTGCTAAACTATAGAGATTCTTTCTGATATTTATTGAAGGGATTTAGCTCCTCTAAAGTGCAAGGTGCATTTAAGAAAATATAAGTGTAGGCAGGCGACCTTTGATGAGATCATTAAAAGCTCACACAACTTCTCTATTTGTTCAAATAAAATATAGTTCTTCTCAGTAGCTTGCCTTCATAAGATATCATCAAGCTTTTGTACTTATGCATGGTGTCGATAATTGGGTTGCAATCTTATGCTACCTCTTTGTTTTTTTGTATCTGTATGATCAACTCATACTTCTGATGTTTTTATGCTGATGTTTCACTAAACTATAGACTGTAAATGTCATGCAAAGGTCAAGGTCTTGCTTGCTCATTGTCAGATGATGAGCCTAAGCTCAAAAAATCTGTAAACCTTTTAACATATAAGCCAACATGTAGAATATCTGCTTTTAGATATAATTATCTCTAACATGAGTATATAAATGAAAATGTTATCAAAACTTTGTGTTCTCTGTTTTGATTTCCTTGAGGCTTAGCACATCATCCTCTGCATTAATTCTAAGGATGCCAAAACCAAGTATGCTGTATTGTTGTTGTAAATTTTAATTGTCTTCTCATTTCTATTCAAGAGTTCTCAGAATTGTAGGGGATCTGAATTGAATTATTTTCTATTGCCAAAGGATTTGATTTTTTAGTGTCTTGGACTAAAAATAGGGTTGTCTTAGGCTTTTTTTTCCCCCCCAACATTTCAATATGTAGATTAGTTTGGCTTTTCTTTTCCTTTTGCTTTGGTAGTGTCAGTTTGGCCCTTTAGCAAACTGCTTACGTGACTATTGGCATGATGACTGGTTTTGGCTTTAAGAATGCATTTAAGAACATTATGCTGATAATTCTATTCTGGAATTTGTTTGATTCTTTCTTATGAATGTCTTCTATCAATTCCTCTCGTTTTACATGGGACTTGTTTACCTTCAAATGTCTTGGGCAAGCTTTTGGATTCCTCACACTTGGATTGTGTTCATTATGTTTTTAACTTTGCTGTTCTTTTTTGTAACTGTGTTTTGACTCAAACAAAATCTTTATTAGATTTAAGATAATATGTTTTACTGACAACTTTTCCTCGACAATTGGTAGAATTATACTTAATGAGAAAAGATAGATATTGGAGCCAGTAATTGAGGTGCATTTAGGCGAGTGAAGGAGCTGAAGTAGCCGTCAGATTATGAAGGATTTAGTGACTTGGACGTTGTTATTTTCATATGTGAGTAAATGCTGATAAATAAAATTTTACAGGCTGAATCCGAACCTGTTGAAATGCAAACATAGTTGATTAGTCGAATAAAAAACTGCACCTTGTTTTACATTTTTGGAGGCTGGGATGAGATACAGATGAGATATAAGTTTTAGCATCCTCAACAGTCTAGACTCAGCTGTTTCATTTTCCCTTGCAGACTGTCAGAGTCTAAGCTGATTTTGTCTCAAATTGCACAGGTGCTTTACTTCTGTTTAATTGTTTTTACTAGTGCTAGAGTCTGCTCTCATGTGGCATATAATAGAAAGTTCCTTTTATGCGTGTATCATAGAAAGTTATATCATGAAATGCCCTTAAGGTTTGTGCAGAAAGTTAAATGTGTATTAAATTATTCATTTGGCTGCTTTATTACGTGCCTAGCCTTTCATCTCATGTCAATGCTTGATAATCAGGGCGCACCACCTTGCATCCATTATGAGCAGCGAGGGGTATGTAAGTTTGGTCCTGCATGCAAGTTTGATCATCCTATGGGAGCACTGACTTACAGTCCATCTGCTTCTTCCCTTGTTAATGTGCCTGTTGTATCCATTCCTGTGGGTTCATCCATCAGTACTCCTGCACGATCATCCTCGTCATCAGAGCTGCGGCCTGAACTCAGCCCTGGTTCAAGCATGGAGCATGGATCATTCAGAATATCTTCATCAATGAGCACATCCACTGGATCAGCAGGCTTGGCTTTGTCATCTGGTGGAACTGTTTCTCAGTCAAATACTCAAACATCCACCCAAAGTTCTGTTCCGGTAGTGACTTCCACGATCACGACAACAAGCAGCACTGTTTCTCATACCCCAAGCTAAGCAATGTGAATGCATACCTTCATTTTTACTCCTTTTTTTTAATCCCAATTCTTAAAGGGGACATCATTATTCAAGGGATTCCTCAGATAGGTTTTGTTTTTCAGCTATCCCTGTTCCACAGGTCTAGAACACATCAGCACCTCTTGTCTTGGTTGATAATCTTATAGTATTTTTCATGGCCATCCAATTGATCTTGAATAAACCATGGCCAACCTTGAGAATTTTAGTAGCATCCCATACAGGCCACCTTGCTTTCAATCTTGAGGAACTGCATCCACAACTCCAGTTGTCTGGAGTTTTTGAGCTTATTTATGCTTCACTTGTCTTTGATATGAGGCTTCTGCCCACACTCTCTTTGATTATGTGTTTATGTTTCTTCCCCAAAACCCTTCTTTCACTCTGGGAACCTTTTTCATTTTCCAATTCTTTTGGAAGTGGAAGGTTTTGTTCTTGTTCCCACGATTCCATCTCTTTTGTCTAGGGTTTAGGTGAAGAAAAATAATCAGGACTCAGGAGACTACAACGAGGCTTCACGTTGCTATTTTAGACAGATCCACAGTGATGTGTTGAACAATGACATGCTTCATTTGGGATTTAAATCATTACCAAATACATATATAAGGGGGAAGTAAGAGATTACACTAGAACCGACACTTTTGAATCTGTAATAAATTTTGCTTTCTCCTTGATATCGTTGTACTTGATCAAGCATTCACATGAGGTTAGAGGAATTGTTCTTCATTTGCCCCCTTCTCATTTGTCCAAAAATAATGGTTCGAAATTGAGGGTATTAAATATAAACAATCCAAATTTTTTGAAGGCTTGTTGGAAGTTTATACATCATATTTTCTTCAGAACTTTTTGAAAGGAAAAGGTTGCAAAAGTATATCTTTTAATTCTCTAATTTTGTATAAAGCTTCAGTTTATTCGTTTAATTTTAAAAAGTATCTTTTGGTCTTTTTATCTTAATGCTGTTAGTTTCAAATAATATTTTTTATAACAATTATTATCTTTGTGAAAATTATGTTTAATATGTCAGTATTTGAAAGTATTTTATTAATATTTAAAATTTCAATGTCAGTATTTTTGAACATGAGAGTTACAAAATTTCGGAGACATTTTATAAAATTAAAAAATTAAAGTAAAACTTCATGTAAAGTTAAAAGATTAAATGTGATTTTATTGGAGGAAGACAATTCTAATCCCCTTCATTATTATATTTTTGTGCTCTCATGACATATCAAATATAATTATCTCACTAAAAATAATAATAATTATCTCATTTCACCAAATATCATATTTATTTTTATTTTCATTCTCCCTCCTACCAAAAACATTTCACTAACCGAATTAGGCCACTTGATTTCGACTTTCAGAATTCCAAAAGTTCTTTTACGGACCCAAACGTAACAGCATGCTTGCTTGGTTTTTTCAGACCGTTTAAGAAAACAAATGAGGTTTATTTTTACATTTTTTTCCTTTGTTTGAGCTTTTTAAAAAATTCTGACAGCTGAAAAAATCCCTCATTTTTTTGATACACGAAAGACCCCCTCATTTCTAATACACAAAATAGATCGATGATTCATTGGGACTCGTGATTAAGAATGGCGTGAGTTTATTAAATAATCATGATCAATACCATACGTTCAAATAAGTTTAACAAACGAACAAATCAATGGTTGGTATTATATTGATTCCATGAAAAATGTCTATATTTATCATCGTTATTTTATTCTAGCATTATTTTAAAGTATATTTAAGTTTTTTTCTTATATTAAATTAACCAATGTAAATGAATAAAAAGCATTTGTTACTTTAGATATCCGTATCTAATCTAAAAAAAAATCTATCAAATGCGGCAAATTAGATTGCTTCCAAATCATTAAACCACATATCAATTTTTTTTCCAAAAAAAATTATATGACTCAGGATAGACCCACCTAATTTTATATTATATTGAACGTTGAAAAAAAAATCCTAGAAATTAGAAAAGGGCAAGTTGTGGTGAGAGCAATTTAGTTGGGGTCATGTGAGGGAGGAGCTTGGATTTTGGGAAAAGAAGAGATAACTGAAAAGAGACAAACTTTGAATTGAACCAAAAAGTGCAAGTGATTGATTAACACTAAACAAGTTGTTCAACGTGGTTTGGTTCATGTTTTTTTTTCAAACTCCTATGGAAAACATGATTATCTTTTTCCCTGAATTCCGGACCACCTTTGATTTACATACATTCTTCCACTATTTGTGTCCCTTATTTCCTCCAATTTCTTTGTTACAAAATTAAAAGGGGGAAAAAAGAGAGAGCTTCCTCCTAAGTTGTCTTATAGTGGAAGGAAAAAAAAAAGGGAAAATGACAATAAAATACCACTTCAATTCCAAAAGGACAAATAAGGGACCTGAATAAGCAAAATGACAAATAGGGCACTGGGTATCAATTTGGAATTCATATTTTCGGCGAAAAGACTGAAATGCCCTTATCAGTGAGGTAAAATGAAGTGAAACTGAAATGAAAATAAAGATGGAGCAGAGCACCGGTTGAGCTGATTTAATAAAGAAGGAAAGAGAAACGCTGGAAGAACACATCAGAGCTGAAAAGAGGTGAGTTTAAGTCGGTAGTCTTTGGAAATGGTATAATCTTACTCCTCCGCATCATAATTTTTTTGGGATTGCTGATTTAATAGATTTTGGTTATGGGCGAGAGGTTTTGTAGCAAGAGAGAGAGTAAACATGTCGCATTAACTGATGGTGGGGTTTGGGTAGTTCCTTTTTGTGTCTGCTTTATGGCGCAATGGTGGGGACGGGTGTGCTGGAGATGAGGTTTTATACTTTATATTGACTATTTCGAATGACGTAGCGGAAATCAAGAAAGGTGGCAAGCAATTACGTAGGCGTGAAGTTTGCGTTGAAGTGGTGAACGTTGTTAAAATCAATAATGGAGTTGTGAAACCCTATAATAAAGTTGCGAATAGAAGAAAAGTTTCTCTCTTTGTGTGTGTTTTGGGTGTCACGTACGTTGATGGAAACTAATTGGCGGAGAAGTTAATTTTTTTATATTTAATGTTGTTTGCTGCAGGTTAGCAAGTGGTGATGTCTTGTAACATTGTATCAACATCTTCAAAAAGACTTGCTTGTTATTTTCACGTAGATGGGAAGTTTGTGGAAAAGGACAATGGCGAAGTTAAATACTGTGGTGGGACTGTCAGAGTAAGAGTAATAAATGAGGGTACAAAACTTGAAGATTTGAGGGCAATGATAGGCGAATGGTTCAGCATGGATTGTCATGGCTGTGATATTAAATACACTTTGAGTTTTGACGAGAGGGTATTGGTAGATCTTATAGATGATGGTGAAGTTGATAATCTATTTGAATATAATGACCGTAATGCACATATTTATATAGCACATAAAGGTAATGACAATGTGGAGGAAGGAATGGGTTATCCAGAAATGTAAGTGAGAAATTTTTTTTTGGTGGTTATGAAAGTTGATAATTGTTGTAATGTTGTAGTAAATCTCTTAACAACAGTGGTAATTATAAATGCAGGATCTCAAGAATGGAAGGACTGTCAGAACAGAGTGATGAGCCTACGTTGGAGGGAAATGCTTTGGAAAGTACAAGTTCTGGAGGCAGTGAAAGACCTAATGTAAGCCTACCATACGGAGTAGTGAGTGCACCTACACCTTTGCCGGAGATGAATTCTTTGAAATGGAAGGAATTGTTGTTAGGACGGAACCAAACTTTTGCAAATGCAGAAGATTTCAAGAAGAAAGTACATAAGTTCAGTATTGCAAACAAGTTTGAGTACAAGTATGTGAAAAATTGTAGGGGAAAAATGTATGTGAAATGTAGTGTTGAAGGTTGTCCGTGGAGGATAAGTGCAAGAGTGGGGAGAAAGAGTACTCCCTTTTTACGTGTGGCAACATTCATAAATGAGCATGTCCATAATGCACAAGACAATCTTTGTGTGGAACATTGTGGTTCAGCTAGCTTGACAGCATCAATCATCAGAGATGAGGTAAATGATCACATAGACAGGCGTCCAAATGATATAAGGAAGACTTTAGAAAGAGATTATGGTATGAAGTTGACATATAAACAAGCATACAGGGCAAAGCAAAAAGCTTTAGAGGACATACATGGCAGGCCTGACCAGTCTTATATGCTTATTCCGTGGATATGTGAACGGTTGAAGGAAACAGATAACAAAACCGTGGCCAAATGGGTGGCTAATACTAATAACACATTTGAGCGTGCATTCATAGCATATGGGTGTTGTATAGAAGGCTTTATAGCTGGTGCTAGACATGTACTGTACATTGATGGATGTCATTTAAGTGGACCGTATAAGGGGACGTTACTGTCGGCGTCTGCTTATGATGCTGACAACGAATTGTTACCTTTTGCGATTGCTGTTGTAAAGGGAGAGACACTTGAGGATTGGACATGGTTCTTATATATGATTAAGGAGATAGTTGGCTCGATGGAATTGACAATTGTGTCAGATCGACACAATGCAATAATAGGCGCCGTGCAAGCAATATTTGGTGGTGAGAGGCATGCATACTGTTACAGACATGTTAAGGAAAACTTCAGTGCACAAATGATTAAATTAAATAGAGGAAAGAGGAAGACTAGTGGGAAAGCAAGGGAGGAGGGACTGCAATACCTGGATGCCATTGCATATGCAAGGCTTGACACCGAGTTTGATGGTGCAATGGATAACATGAGAAAGTTCAATCCACAATTATTTGAGTGGCTTCTTAATCATGGTGATGTTGAAAGGTGGGCCTTAAGTAAATTCCCATTTAAACGGTGGGATAACATCACAACAAACCTTGCTGAGTCATTCAATGCTTGGATGTTGAAAGAGAGACGATATAATGTTGCCCAACTTATACATGAGCATCGTGAGAAAGTGGCAAAGAAGATGTATGCAGCAAGCATAGCAATGAGTAATTGGAAAAATAGTGTAGGCCCAAACATAGATGCAAAGTTGGTGGACAATGTTGCTAGATCAGCATGCATGCTGAGTGTACCTTATGGAGGAGGTAGGGTGTGTGTCCATACAGCAAAAGGAGCTGTACATGTTGATCTTGGTCTAGGCGAATGCACCTGTGCAGCTTGGCAAATGTCAGGCATTCCATGTCCCCATGCCTGTGCAGCGATTAAGGCTGTGAATTGCAATGTCTATGATTTTGTTGATGAATGCTACAAGATTACATCACAGCAAAAGATTTATGGCAGGAGTATGATTCCAGTGGCGACAGTAGACATGCCAAATCCTAACAATTACT